TTAGGGATAGCACGGTGATCACAGTCCCCCAAAGACCAACAGCTTCGAAGACGCCTGTCCTGCGGTGGGGTGACAACACCTTTCGCCCGAGGATGGCCACCCATTGGAATAGTTACATGCTACCTGTACCCCATGTATGACCCATTTTGGGGGGTGTCCCACTGCCTGTAACAGTCGGTAAACAAGTAGATATCCCAGACACTCCATGGGACTGCCATATATGCCGATCAGTTGGGGTGCTTTTGGGGGTCAATGTAGGCATATGGCATACATGGAGTGTCTGGGTATGACAGTATGACAATTTTAGAAAAAGGCCTGCAACCTAGCCGTCATTATCCACTGGGCCCAGGGAATGGGATGATATACCCAAGACTCATCCATTGGTCTGGAGGAATGGCCGCTCGACTTCGTCGACTTCGCAGATCCTAGGACTGGATCCCAGACACGACCGGCAGTCCAGGTAGGTCAAGAAGGCCAGTCCAGTCCCATGAAGTGTGTGGGCTGTGTCAACGACCGCATCAGTGATAGCCCAAGTCCTATTTTGGACAAAAAACAAAACAGAAGACAGGTTTCGCAGCCACACAGCAATTTTTTGTGGGTGAGCATCTCAAGGAGATTCTGCTGCTCTCCAAGCTGCTATAGCGATCGCCAAACGCCACTTGAGGTGGATGGGATTGGCCTAACAGAGATGTAATGAGATGTACATGGCACCGGCCTGTTGATCGATCAGGCCAGAGGTGGTTGAACAAGGTGTCCATTAGGTTGCATATACAGTATACACCAGTCCGAGGGATGGTTTGGAATATGATTTGTACATGTTTGCGCGTTTCGTCGTTCCTGCTGAAGCACGGCTCACATGCCAACATACAAGCGCCTGATTCTTTTTTGCAAGACCAAGGCGTACTTAGTCGACTGGAGCACCCTCAACGTCATTGCGCCGCGAAGAAAAGCATCGAAGCTGATCAGCATGAGAGCAAGTCAATCATCCTCCGATCCACGTTCCAGACTGTTGGATTGGCACAGGTGAGATGCCAGATACCACACGCGGCCTCCACAGAAGATCTACCCCGACCCCGAGAGCTTTAGCCGCCCAGACCCAATTCATACTCTGACCACAATTCATCCCGAACACCGTGAAGACACGAACGCTACGGAGCCGGCGTTGAACGTTTGGGTGCCTTCCGACCAATGCTGTGTCCGCGGCCGCCAGCCTTCGCTTTGCCGCAACACAGGCGACGGGCTTTATCGCGCCAGCCATGAAACGCACAGCCCGATCTCATAGACCCATGGGGTTCACCAGGTGACTTGCAGATCAGGAGATGTGTTGGTTTCCCGAACTGGGCTAAATCCCCTACTTCTGGGGAAGATTCGGTATTTTTGTCCGGGTTCCTTAAGCCAATCCAAGTGAAACAAGATGTTGAGTAGGTTGACTCAGAAGTTTAAACATCCAAAGTCGAATCCAGAATGCTGGATGTTTGCAATACACATCTATCCCAGACCGTCCATGGGACTGAACTAAGAACAAACATGCCACCCCAGAAAGACCTCTTCTTCAACCACCCCTGACCTCATCGTATAATAGGCCAGTTCCATGGCTGGTATTGGTATTACAGTTCCTGAGTTGTTGATGCTCTTCTCGACGTGTCTCGTGCAAGGCCCAAAGGTCCTCCTGGTGCAGGATGGACAGGCGCGGGTGCTTCCCCCTCCTCGCCTCTTCACCCTTTTGGGGAAGAGTCCAAGATCTTCGGATCGGCCTTCGACCAATTCAGTGACTAGAAGTACTTTATGAGGCGTTTGGCAAAATTGTCCTTTTTCAGATACATATGTATATACAATATATATATAGAGAGAGAGAATATGGTTAAATAGGTATTATTGCTTCCTTCGACTCGAAACAGGAACCTACCGGTTGCTTGCCTATCCTATCCCTGAAACAACTCCAAGGCAGTCGAATCAACATGGTGTTCACGCCTTATGGTGCGAACAAACCAGCAGTCCAGCGCACATGCCAATAATGTTTAAATCTCCCCATCATATGGCTGGGCTCAAGCAATAAGGCATAATCAGGCCCAGGCACCTGCAAGTGTTAGACTCTGTTTTACTTGAGGTCTTGGGGTTTGGCGTCGGACGGAGGCCTGTTAAAAGCTTCACCAAGGAGGAAATCCAGAAGCAACCAGGGGCTTCTTGTCCCAAAGTCATAGTTGTCGATTGCCTACTGGATATTTTCCAAAGGTAGGTGGATGTTGTTTGGCAAAGCACAGGCAGATGAACAGTTTTATATTCAAAAGGTATGTTTTCCCATGATTCTTCCTACTGGAATCATGTTGTTTCATCTCTGGCTGCCAAGCTTGCTTGCTACTGTAACTAGGCTATCCACCCAGCAGTACTTTGGAAAGTGGATTGGTTCAAGTTTGCATAAGTTCTTGCCGTGTGTTCTCGACAAATAACTGCGAAAAGGGAACCAACAAGTTTGATGGGGCAGTGTAGTGTTGACACAATATAAAATATATTATAGTATGTATATACATAATTATACATATATACACATGGAGGGTAGATCCCCCAATTGACCTTTTCCAGCCCTGATGGGATCATGAGTCTTGTTATTTTTTTCCTTGTAAAGGAGGGGCGGCTCGTCCTCTCCACCGATGGGAGGGTGCGACACACTAATCACGAACAAATCACATGGGGTAAACAATCACACACAAAATGGCTGTGGGTTAAAACCCCCGTACCCTGAAACCCTAGTAGGTTGACCCTTTTTGACCCTTTCTTCGGTCCACCAGGGGCGACCCGACCTCGAATCGAGACAGGTCCGTTGACCTGGTCCACCAGGGAGTCGACCGTGGCCGGTGCGCACGGCCGGCTCGCGCACTGCCGGCTCGGCGATGGATGTCTGGAGCAAATATCCCTCAGTCAAATATCCATCAGTCTTTGGCCCAAGGAGGATCAGCAGAACTCGGAAAGGATCCGTGCGGATCTGCTTTTCGACGTGGCGGATTTCCCCTAACAATGCATGTCTTCCTTCGTGAAACGACCGGATGGAATTGGTGCAACGACCGATGACAGCCTGCCATTGCGTTTCGGAGCGACCTGGAGGCGAGGAAACGACCATGAAGCAAGTGAGACAGGCGAAGTAAGTCCCCGAGTCATGGAAGTGGGCAGGGCTCTATGGAAAACAATATGTTTTTCTACAAACAGGGAGGTTCGACTTCCATGTTGGATAGAGGCTACCGTAGCCTACCTGATTTGATGGGGATGTGCTGCGTTGCTTCCTGGGTTGGTGTTTTCCTTTAAACTGACTTTGATGCAAGTCATGAGGTTGTTTACTCTTTTCCCCATGATCTTTGAGTAGATCCCCGGTCCAGCTAGTATGCTGATTTGAGGCCTCAGTACCAATCACTCTCAAACATGGGATCGGTTGACGGTTGATACTTCAATACGATCAATCATGAAGAGAACGCATTCTCTTCATGGGGACTCTGGAGGTTTTTGTTGAGCTGGATGAACTTGCCCCCAACACCCGGCTAAAATGGACTGGATCCAGTTTTCCAACACATGAAAACATCGTTGGGCCACAGAGTTCCCAATCGGATCGATGCTCCGTGCTCCGCGGCGGCGACCGGGTGACCGGGTGGCGCGGTGGCCGGCGTCGGCGGTCGAAGGTCCAGCGGTCGGAGCAGTTGCTTGCGGTATATCCTGACCCTAGGGCTCCAGTCGTACCTCCTCAGAAGGTGTTTGGACCCTCCTGGCACCCACCCCAAACACCTTCTCAGAAGGTACTTGGAGCCCTAGGGTGAGGATCTTTGTATAGAAACTCTATTATATCCCAGACACTCCATGTATGGCACATATGCCTACATTGACCCCTGAAACCACCCCAATGTAGGTAAATATGCCATACATGGAGGGTCTGGGTATAGTAATTAGGAACTCGACCCTAAGAATCCGGACCCGAACCAATAGGAAAGGCCTTGGTTCGGGTCCCGACGTCCGGCTGTTTTTGTGAGTGTCCGACCCCTGCCATGGAGGGTCCGGACTTGGATTCTTAGGGAAGGGAACATGGTAAAACATCAATTTCTCGACAGATCTCAATGATCGTGCTTCGTTTTCTTTCTTCTTGCTTCGCCTCCTGGGGGCAAACATATCCCAGAAGTCACGAGTCCATCTTGAGCCGAGCTCCACGCTTCTTGCGTCGGCAGGCTTCGATCTGGAGAGCACGAGGAGGAAGCGGTGGTGAAGCTGTGCGAGACCGTGACAGAGGGAGACCTGGACGAGTCTTTCTACAGTGGTTTCAGAGTAGATGGCGCAGGTGCCCCCCAAGATGTGTTTTAGATGGGGATCCATTTGGGGATTGCGCCATCTACGTACTCTCAATCCGCTATATTGTTGTTTTTTTGCGATGCTTTTTTGCGATATGGCCCAAAATTAACGCACCATGGCTACAACATGCTACGCTGCTACACTCTTGAGCTGGAGGATCTTTGAGGATGCTGAACTACCTCAAGTATCCTCAAGTCAACTCCAAGCCAAACCTCCAGTAAATGATCTTGGAGTGAAATTGTATATTACATTATATTACGGTGTTGCCACCACCTCACGGAGGAAGAAATTGGCCAACTGACGGCTATTGTATCCTCGCTTGTAGGTTGACGTGGATACGTTGAAAGAATTCAATGCTTAATTCTAATCTATCCATGAATGTCCATGCCATGCAAAAAGATTGTCTTCACCCTTAGTCCCCAACAGATCCAAGGAAATCTTGGAGTGCTCCTGCCAGAAGTGAGACGCTGCAAACGTATCCTTCAGCAAGTCTTGCGGATGTGGCAAAAGCATCAGCAAGCATGTCTCGTGTATGCTGTCTTGGAGGCAATCATAGAAGATGGTGCCAAAGAACTCAGTGTTTCTGACTACACTGTTGGGATCTCAACTTGTGCCAGGGCTTCAAAATGGACGCAGGCATTAAAATTGTTTGATGCGATGCCGAAGGCAAGAGTTTGGCCAGATGTCATCAGCTACAACGCAGCTATCAGCGCCTGCGAGAAGGGCGGGCAATTGCAGCAAGCATTGAGGTGTTTTCACGCGATGTTCAAAGCAACAGTGCAGCCAGACGTCATCAGCTACAATGCTGCTATTAGTGCCTGTGAGAAGGGCGGGCAATGGCAGCAGGCCTTGGAGTTTCTTGAGGCCTTGCCCAAGGCGAACATGCAGCCAAATGTAATCAGCTACAGTGCAGGCATCAGTGCCTGCGAGAAGGGCGGGCAATGGCAGCAGGCATTGAAGTTGTTTGAGAGCATGGCAAGGGCAGACGTTTATCCAAACGTCATTAGCTATTGTGCGGCCATCAGTGCTTGTGAGAAGGGCGGGCAATGGCAGCAGGCATTGTTGTTGTTTTCTTTCATGATCAATGCAAGAGTTCAGCCCAACGTTGTCAGCTACAGCGCAAGCATCAGTGCTTGCGAAAAGAGCGGGCAATGGCTGCAAGCATTGATGTTGTTTGAGGCTATGCCCAAGGCAAAAGTTCAGTCCAATATCATCAGCTGCAATGCGACCATCAGTGCCTGTGAGAAGGACGGACAATGGCAGCAAGCATTGGAGTTGCTTGAGGCCATGCTTAAGGCAAGACTTTTGCCCGACATCATCAGCTACAATGCAGCCACTAGTGCCTGTGAGAAGGGCTTGCAATGGCAGCAAGCAGCCATGTTGTTTGAGGTAATGCAAAAGGCAAATGTTTTGCCTGACGTTATTAGCTATGGTGCGGCCATCAGTGCCTGCGAAAAGGGCGGGCAATGGCAGCAAGCTTTGTGGTTGTTTGAGGCTATGCCCATGGCGAATGTTAAGCCCGACGAAATTAGCTATTGTGCGGTGATCAGTGCATGCGAGAAGGGCGGGCAATGGCAGCAAGCATTGATGTTGTTTGAGGCTATGCCGAAGGCTACAGTTGAGCCTAATGTCATCAGCTACAATACTTCCATCAGTGCCTGTGAGAAGGGCCGCCAATGGCAGCAAGCATTAAAGTTGTTTGAGGACATGCCCGCAGCGAGAGTTCTGCCTGACGTCATCAGCTATTGTGCGACCATGAGTGCCTGCCAGAAGGAAGAACAATGGCAGCCAGTCTTGACGTTGCTTGAGGCTATGCCCAAGGCAAACATCCAGCCCACTGTCATCAGTTTCAGCGCTGGCATCAGTGCCTGCGAGAAGGGCAGTCGATGGCAGCAAGCGTTGTTGTTGTTCGCGGCTATGCCCTTGGCAAAAGCACAGCCCAACGTCATCAGCTACAATGCTGCCGTCAGTGCCTGTGAGAAGGGCGGGCAATGGCGGCGAGCATCGATCTTGTTGGAGTCCATGCCCAAGGCAAAAGTTCTGCCCGATGTTATTACCTATTGCACGGCCATGAGTGCCTGCGAGAAGGGCGGGCAATGGCAGCAAGCTTTGTGGTTGTTTGATGCTATGCCCAAGGCGAAGGTTCTGCCCGACATGGTCACCTTTGGCGCGGCCATCGGTGCCTGTGAGAAGGGCGGGCACCAACGACGAGCACTGATTCTGTTTGAAGGAATTGCTGAGCAAGTTGTCCTGTTACACTGCTTTCTTAGATAGTCTTGACATCCTGCAACAGGGGAATGCGTAGGGCATACGTTCCACCTTCCTATCGACCAAACCAGGTCTTCACAGAGGAGACGGTCGAGATCATTGTTCTGCTTGTTGTGGAGATTTGAAGACACAATCACCAAAAACAAGCGGAAGAATGATCCGAATCTTCAGTGAACTTGTTTTGGAGCCTGTCGAGATCATTGTTCCTCGAACTTGTTTTCGTTGTTTTGGTCCGAGCGAATTGAAATCCGAATTGCTTGGGCCAACTGAGCCCGCGGAGGTCCGAAGTTCGGGCCACCCGCACCTGAACCTGCGTGGTTGGCGGACCGCGGTTTTGGTGCTTTTTGGGCCCAGTGGGGTGCACAGAGAATCAGGAACAAAAACATATACCATGGCGCTATGGTCTCCGGACAGCCACGTGAATCATGGTGTCTCATGTGGAGATGAACGGTGGTTTTTCTTTGAGTTTAACACATGATAACGGATAGATAAGGTAGAACAAATCCACTCCCTTGTACAGGTTTAGGCCTAACAGCGTGATATCTGTGGATATGCAGTTCATAGCAGTTCATTGCCGTTCTGTTACACGCGAGTGTGCGATGATGGGGGTGCGGTTGGATCATGGCCTGTGGTAGGTTGCTGTGCAGGGTGGTGCGGTTGGTTCGTGAGATATCGTGAGTATTGTTTGTTGAAGATCCAATAGAAACACAAGGGGATGCAAGATGGTTTACCAGAGACTTTCTTGATGAAGCTATCCGAGGTCCATGACCAGCTAGGTTAGCAGATCGGTCTTATTCAAAGGTCATGGATCCCTCGACCCCGCGAGAGACCCGAGGGATGAGACCGAGGGGGGATGGTTTGCTGGATGGTTTGAGACCACACGAGACTAGGGTGGAAGAAGCACAGCTTCCGGTGACGGAAAGCACCATGCGTGGACGGACGGTCATCCGCAAAGCACAAGTTCAGACGAACAGAAGATGCTGCGACCGAAGACGTTCCGATATTGGGAGGACGAAGGTTCGGCCAATCCGCAGGCTCGCGGGTTCTGACCTATATCGAATGTCTTCGGTATCATTGGCGACTATAGATTGACCATGGAATTGGATTGTCGAGACCGATATTGGGAGGATCCCCGAGCATCCAACACAACATCCACAAGCAAGTGCATCCCTTGCACCTCAGAGCTTTCTATATAGACTTATAGATCGAGTCATACAGTGATGATCTAAACACTGCAGACATGGCATGTGGAGGGCATTCCCGCTCTGATATGCCACACCCCACCCCACACCAGCCAGCCGGGCCAGCCGTTCCCCGTCCTCGCTGCCGTTCTGCCAGGCGGGAAAGCTGGCCCGGGCCTCCGAGTGGAGGCCTGGATGCCCTCCATTTCTACATTTGTTAATGTAGATTCTTAATATTATATAAACCCTATATATTTTTTTGATGATTTTAAAGACCTCTTCCTATGGGATGGTGAGAGTTTTGTCAAGAGTCTACATTGGATGCACCCACCAAGTGCCACAAAAGTGGTGGAGTTGGTGGCGAGTCCATCCCACAACCCGGAACATCTCGAAATCCAACAACGAACCAAAACACCGGTTTGAAGAACCCATCCCGTGAAATTGATCCAAAGCCCTCCAAAAAGATGAACCAACCAGCACCTTCAGTTCGGGGTCACCTGGCTGGTTTCGCCTCAGCCCACCACGATCAGGGACCTTCCAGACAGGACACCCCTTAAGAAGCTCCAGGAAAGCCGAGTCGGCGCCTGACGGCGCCGCGCCGGTCGCGGACGGGGGGAAGCGCCCTCTGGTCCGCCAGGAACGGCCAAAGACGCAGCCGAAGGCCTTGGTGCCGCCGGGACACCGCGCCCGTCGTTGGCGGCGCGGGTTGGGTTGGGACGACTTGTCAGGCTTCAAAAAGGAAGGAAGGTGGTTGACTGGTGGTTTTGTTTTGTTTGGGGAGAGAGGGGGCATTTATTTGGAGATGTTTAAAACTATGATGAACTATGTGAGTTGGATGGAGTCCAAAGACGTCTCCAGCTGACTTTAAGATCTTTAAGCTGTATGGAATTTAACAAAACTATCAAGCTTGACAGGAAGCTCTTCAAAGATGAAGAGATAGGACGAGTTTGATTTTGCTGCTCAGTGTTGGTTCAATCAGTCGTCCTTGATCAACAGAAAACGGGGGATGCCCTACAGAAAACGGTCAATTTGTCTTACCGTATACGGTCATTTTATGTCCCCTATAACCTACGGTCATTTTATGTCCCCTAGGGCTCCACGTGCTTTCTCAGAAGGTATTTGGACCCTCCTGGCACCCACCCCAGTCCCACCTTCTCAGCAGGTACTTGGAGCCCTAGGGGTCATTTTGATGCACGGATCGATCTGTCATCGCTTGGAGTTCAACAGATCCCAGCCGTCGGGGACGGCGACGGCCGATTCGGGTCACCCGGCCGACTACGAGTCAGTGGGTGACCCGGTTTACAGCCTTTGAGCCATTCCTTTGGGTCTTGTTGTTGAGCCATACGCCGTACGCAATGAATTCAGGAAAGATAGCTTGACTGTCTTGAGGGGTACTCTTAGAATCTCTTAGACCATCGGTCCTTTTGGTTTAGAAGGGAGTTCTCACCAACCCACTAAAGGTTAACACCCTTGGCAAAGGACCTGTGGAAAGACAAGATAGCCCTTTACTGGCATCAAAAAGACCCGTCACTTGGGGTGATTGAAAAAAAACGGGTCAATACTGGTCAATAGAAGTAGTTTGTTCACATACCTACTTCACAGTTCTCACCTGCAAAACCTCACATGATTCACAGTTTTGTTGGTTTCTCCACTCAAATCCAGAACCTCCAATTCCATGCGCCACGCGCTTTCACCTCCTTTCCCTTCTCGGGGCTCGGCCACGCGCCGGTCCGTCCCATGGAGTGCCGGGCACCCGTCGAAGGGGTTCAGCACGGCACGGGCGAAGCACACCGCACCAAGGCCTAAAGTGGAAACCCGGCGGAAGGAGCAGCCGTGTGGCGTTTGTTTGTTTTTTTTGTTGTTTTTGGCGTTCGTGGGTCGCGGGTTCTTCCTTTTTTTTTGGGGGGGGAGGAGAGTAAATCGAGAATCGATTGGTTGAACATGTGTTTGCAACGTTTGCTATAAATACCCTTCACAAAGAAAGTGCCTTCCAGTTCTTCAGAACTAAATGCACCCTTAAGAGCGCATTCAGCAGCCACTTTGCAGCGGCCGATGAAGTCCTCAATCAGATGCGCGACACCCACTGAGACGATGACCTGCAGTGTTTTGGAAGACGAGCGGAACGGCGGGCTGATGTAAGACATCCCTGTGGTACCTCAAGACTGCTGCGATTCGAAAAATAGTAACGATGACAATATGTATAGGCTCGAACAAAGAACCCATCACAGACCATATTCCTACTTCCTTCCAGCTTCCAGGAATTGTATCAATACCTGAAATCAGAAGCCTTGGGTACGACCAAAGCATGTGGGTCCAACTCAGCTATTCGGATGACCCTCAAATGAGCTCTTGGGGTTGGACCTGTTAGTTCCGAGATCTGGTGGGGACGACCTAGCTGTGAGTCATGGCACCTGAAACCCCTTGTTGAAGTCGCAGCCGGTCATTTGTGATTACTGTCAATCCATTGGGGGATTGCACACACCATAGGTCGCTACTATATGTTGAGATGTTTGAGATGTTGAGATGTGAGAGTTTGGTCTCAAGCTGGCACATTGCTGTAGCCATGGCAAGTGAGATGATCTGCACTCTAAAGAGCAAAAGAGCTCGCCTCAGCGAAGAAGATGAGCCAGTGTCAGAGCAGAAGCAGGTGGCAGGGATTGTTTTTTGGTGAGTCTTTCCACGGAAGGCTTGGCAGTAGCCTCTTGCAAAGTCACCTCGTGGGAGAGGTATGCATACTGAATTCATACCGATCTACACCGGAAAGATTGGAATGCCACATGCGGGAGATGTATCTTGCATGGCTGCAGTTCGGATAGGGAGCTAGATCTGAATGAGCCTGGAAGATGTAGTGCAGTACCTTTGCAGACATTTCAAGCGGAGTCTTTTCGCACGTGCCCGAGCAGCAAAATAAGCTTTGTGCAGAGATGCCTCCGGAGGAAGCCACGAAGCACTCCCTCCCCCCCGCCCCGGGGGCTTGCAATTGCTGCAAATGTCCGCAGATGGGCCTGTCATCAGCTCTGAGGTTCGCAAGAAATGGTGCTCGGATGTCGTGTATGGGCCGGACTGAGCCTCTGAGCTCCGCAAGTTTGGCGAGCTCCTCGCCACTCATGCTCAGCCCGCTTTAGAGACAGTGCCCCAGGCTGAGGAGGCCAGCTCCGACAGGTCGCCTGCCGCCCAAGTTTTGCCGGACGTGTGGAGACCCCAGCGAAGGAGTACCTGATTCAACATTGTCCTGCGGACTGGATCAAGCCTCCAAAAGTACTCGAGTTCTCAGCAACCGTGATGTGGAGCATCTTCTTGCCACCAGCCGCCAAGGAGGCCTGCACCTGCCGATAGTTTTTTAAGCTCTCTCCGGCTCGATTCTCCCAACTGTGGAGTTTTATGTGCAGAGTTTGCAAAGCAAAGCCAACAAGTCAAATCCTTTGTCTGTCCTGGTGCAGAAGGAGATCATTCTTTCGAAAGTTCTCATGAAGAGGGAACCTCGGGAGATGTGGCTGGACAGCCACACCACGAACAGGAAATTGCGATTTGTAGCAAAGCCGAAGGGTTGCTGACTTTGCAAGAAGTAAGCAGCTTGCTCCACGAAGGCTGCAGGATCATCAGCGCTGCATGGGGAAAGCACTTAGGCCAAAGGCTTTGTTGCTTGGATTGCGCAACATTTCCAGGGTCACTGAGCAACAGAGTTCCATGGTGATTTGGTGTGTTTTCCGTTGTGTTTTACTTCCAATCCATGCAGGGACGGTGTGGCGGGGACTTTCTCCACAAGGAAACGGGCACTAGTTGAAAGAGTTTTGGTCGTGTAGTGATGCGTTTACATTGGCGGACACTTTGGCAGTTCCATGGGGAACATTCTGTTCATGACCGCAGTGTTTTTTTCACGCTTGTCCCTAGTGCCATGATCCACAGCCGCATGTGGCAGTCTTTTTGACTGACCGGCCCTTGCAGAGAGGTGTAAATTTATTTACATGACCCATGAGACGACGTACCCGCGGTACACCTCCATTTAGTGTTGGGAAGTCGTCTTATCCCATGTTCACTTTCACGTTCACGAGCGCATAGGGTCGGTAAAGACGCTGCACCTAGCATGAAAACATCACTAATTAAGCTCAGAAGTCCTTCGGGCCCCGGAGCATACTTGACAGGCATGGACTGCAAAAAACGTCAAGGCCACTGAACCGGGCGACGGCCTCCAGCC